GACCCGCACGGCGAGGCGATGGCGCAGGGACACGCAGGGACACGGCGAGGCTGCCGGCTCCTTCCACAGTCAGCCCTCCTCCTCGCGGCAGCTGAGGAGCCTCTGTCGCCTCGCGCCGGCCGTGATGCTCTGTGCTAGCCTCTCAGGCTTCTCTAGACCCTGAACTCGTGGCGGACGGAGCCACCTCTTTCTGTTGTGTTTACGCCCCTTGCTTACTGATGAATGCCTTATGTACTAAATGTGTGTTGAAGGATCTGTCTGAAATGATAACAGTACGCACACAGTAGGGAGCTGGAATGAATCTTGGTTCCAATGGTCTTTCATAACATATCTAACTTCTTAATCTAAATGTTGTGAAGTGCTTTTTGAAGAGGTTATGTGAAGAGTTAACATTGGCAGTTTCATGGCTTTTTTTTTCCTAATGGCTGTACATTCAAAATCTTCCTTAGAGTCACAGAGAAATTAATAAGTAACTCGGTCAAAATTACCAGTAAGTGTCAGGGCTTGGAATAAACTTGTGTCTGTGTTGGAAGAGCTCTGTGTAACTCCTGTGCCTTGCCGGCTCTCCAAGTCATAGCACTAAATTGTTGACCAAGGCTGAAACTGAGTATATTTGGAATCCTCATGGCTCAAAGTTTTTCTTTGGCATTCACTTTATCTTTGATTATTGATGTGTATGTCGAACCTTAGTTGTGTGATATTAGGGGTAATGTGCCTTACATAATAATACAATGTTTTAAACTTTGCTGTGGTTCCTGGGGAAAGTTCACCACATAATTAGATGCTTCTCTCTGTGTTTCTTTACATTTTATCTCCCTCTTAGGACTCTCATAGAGCTAATATGTATGTCTGTTTTTTGTGAATGGGTGTACATTTAATTAAAAAGGAGACAGGATACGTAAGTTTTTAAATGTCAGAAACATGCTACAAATCAAATGTAGAACTGAAAGAAACTGTTCAGCTTTGTTTAAAGGACAGATTGATGTATACCTTATAAGGAAGTGAGGAATTGTGATAATACTTCAATTTTTTCCTTAAATGTTTTAATCTCACACTCATTATGTATGAGGCACTAGCTGGAGTCCTAGGGAATGAGGCAGAGTATGAAACACCTGAGGTGCGTCCTGTTCCTATTGTGAAGTTCATAGTTTGATAAATAGAGGAAAACCCATTTTTAAAAAATAATTAATAGCAGGAACATAACATTTCATAGTGCAACTTGTGATTAATTACAGCTACTCTAGGGATTCAGGAATAGGAACAAAATGATCTCGGTTGATCTACGGCTGAGATACAATTTGTGAACGATTTTCAAAGGGTGTTTGGAATTTGAAACAGGCAAGCACAAATGACAAAACACTATTTTATAGTTTTCCTATGGGAAGAATTTCTTTCCTAGGTGTCTAAAAGAAGGATTTAACTGCTAGGTTGCTCTTTTAGTTGTTTTTTCCATGGTTACAACAGAAATGTATTAGGATGTGATTCCTTTCCTTTTGCAATGTAACCTGTCCTAACTACCCTGAAATGTGTCAGATAAAGAAGTAATGTGAGATTTTTAAATCTGGCACAGTAGCTTTCTCTGACTGACAGACAAGATTGCTTTTTGGGTCTGATTCCTTCTTACTTCACCAGCCTAACCTCTTGTTGCTTCTCTCAGGTACTACTAGCCAGATCCTTAGAAGTTCCCTGTTCTCTTTAGCCTCAAGGGCTTTGGGTATGCTCTGCCTTCTGCCGGGATCACTTGCCCCATTACTAGATTGCCTCCTCCTTCAGGCTCAGATTTCTTTTTTTTTTTTAAAGAAAGCCTTCTCTAATCTACCAAAAACTGAATTAGATGCCCCTCTTGATTGTTGCCATAGCATCCTGACTTCACCTAACCCCACTGTAATTTCCACTTAATTTGTCACAAGATAGTAAGGAAGCTTCATGCAGTCAGAAATCTTAACCGTTTTGTTTTTATTTTCCCCTCACTGTTGAATCCTCAGTGCCATAATATATTTTCAGTAAATATTGGTTAAGTAGGAAAATCTCTCTGGGGTTAGACAGAGAGTGCCAATTAGGTGTTCAGTAAATACCTAACAGTTTATTTCAAGTTTATTTCATTAAAATAGTTTGTATTGGTTGTTCTGAACTATTTTAACTGAGGTATATTATAACCATCTATGTGAAAATCTTGGTATACAGTGAAGGAGTTTTAGTACAGTGAACTTCTAGAGCATATTTGTTATTTCAGCGTTTTAGATTTTCCTTCATGTTCTTTTATTGAGAATGCTTATTCATATTGCTATGCCAGCTATTTTTGGTGTGTGTGCAAGGGGGTGTGTTTCTGTTTTATATTTTTCTTTCTCCTTTTATTCTATTTTTGTTTTAGGTCTGTTTCTTATAAGCAACATTTACACAGATTTTGTTTTTTTAATTTGTTTTGATAATCTCTTACTTTGAGTAGGTGGCTTTAATCCATTTATATTAATTGCAATTACTGGTATGTTTGAACTTCTGCCTTTTTGTGTTTTCTATTTTTATTCTTTGCTTTTTTCTTTCATGCATCTGCCTTTAATTAGATAATACATTTTGTTATTTTCTATATTTCCTGCTTTTATGAATGCTGTAGGTTGTATTTCCATTTTTATATTTTTTGGCATACACGTTTTTAGGATACATATTTAATTATATTTTGCCAGTGGAATGTAGAGTTACCCAGTATCTTTTTGTCCTGTCTATATCAAAGTTCTGTATGTTTTATCAAGCCAAAAATAACCTTATCCATCTTACTATTTTTTTAGTGTTTGAATTGTAAACTTTTTTAACCCCTCAGAAATTACCTTGTAAATGATTAGTAGTTAACACTTTATCCTCTCCTGTGCTAACTTGTTTTGCATAGACCATGAGTCCCCTCTGTTTACTTTTCTTTTTGATAAACTGCATTTTGTAGTAGCTCATCAATAAGTGGTGAATTTTCTTAGCCTCTATGTATCTAAAGAATACTTTCCCTTCATTCTTGAATGGTGGTTTGGCTGCATATAAAATTCTAGACAGTTGTTTTTCCTCAGCTTTTTGAAGACATTACTCCATTGTGTTCCGACCTCTATTGCAGCTGCTGAGAAGTGTGCTCTCAGTCTGCCATTCCTTGAGGTAATCTCTTTTTTTTCCCTCTGATAGCCTTTAAGATTGTGTTTCTATTGTTGACTGTATGCAGCTTCGATACAGTGTATCTACAATGTGGAGTCATGTGTTTGTGGTAATTCTCTTTATCAAGGTATTACCTGCACAAAGTATAAACTCAGTTAATTTTTATATGCACATGTATCCAGGTTACCAACACCTAGTCACAATGCAGAATATTTCCAGCAAGTTCCAAGATTCCCTGTGTCCCCTCCTAGTCAATACATCATAGATCACCACACTGTAAACTCATTCAGTACTCTTTCATTTTGAAGATACATGTCTCTTTTCAGTTCTAGGAAATTCTCAGCAATTATCTCTTCAGTTACTGTTTCTCCACTATTCTCTTCCATCTCTTCCCTTGGAACACCTTTGGACAAATGTTGCAGCCTCAATTTATGTCCGCAACTGCTCTTTTCTACTTAACTTTTTTTGTCTGCTCATATTAAGTTCCAGGTAGTTCATTGAACCTATCTTTAATTTACTAAATCATTCTTTCACTACCTCACCTGTAGAATATATCCATTAACTGTTTTTTTTAAATAAGATTTCATTCACTCTATTTTTCATACCTAAAATTTCCAGTTTAGTTTTTTTTTCCCTAATGTTCTGTACATTAATTTTCTTTTTTAATCTCTTGTTCATGTGATGGATCTTATACCTTCGTTTCTGTTTCTGAACATCCTTAAGATACTTATTTTAAAATCTTTGGTGGGTTGCACTAAACAGATTGCATCTGAAATGAATTTCTGAGTCAATTCCTGATTTCTGTGGTTTTCCTTCTTGGCATTAAATTTCTTCATGTTTTGGAACTTTGTTTTGCCATTTACTTTTGACAAGAATGTTTTTGGTTTATTTTCAATGTCTTCCCACCTGTTCCCTGAGTCTCCCCTTCCCACCCTCAATCTAGGGATTTTGCTAGATTTTGTTGTTATTCGGTATACTGGCAGATGCACTAATAGAACCAGAGGGTGGCTTGGCTCTGTTCCTGGTTTTTAGGTAGTTTTCGTTCCCTTATTAGTACCTTATCAGACCCACACTTCTAATTTAAAGCCATAGTTCTAGTCAGAGGTTTGGGTTCCTTGTTTTATCAGTCTCCTATTACAAGTAGAGCCATGATCCAGCCCTAGCCTTAAGGAGAGAATCGATGTGAGAATCGATCCCTGCTTTTAGTTCCCTTTGCGCCAGAGAAAACCGCTATACATCACCCTTCCTCTGTACCACCTGCTTTTAGATCCAGAAGCCAGCAGGTCAGTTTCTGCTCAGCCTTTTTGAATATCCATACCATTTCTGTTGTACAGAAACATTTCTTATTTGACCTTAGCTGTGTCTTTGATTTTCTCTCATCATGCTTCATATGTTTTTATTCATTTTTGCTCTGTGCCAGCAGGGTTTCTGAACTCGCTTAAGATGTTAAAGAGGTGCAATTAATTGTAAAACTGTTTTCTTAAGGGATAATAGTAAAAATATATTCAAAAGGAAGGACTGTGGGGTCTGGAATTGATTTGTTCAGAGGAGGATATGCATCCCCTACTATTCTCCATAAAATGTGATTTAATATTTGCTCAACAATCTCTGTAATCACTTTTTTATTAAAAGAGATATAACTTATGTCATTATTGGGCTTTTGGAAAATGTGACAAATCATACATATACACATAAACAGAAACACACAGAAACATACACACAGTATGAGAATTACTTGTCAGTCCACAGCCCAGAAATAGCTGTTGAGTATTTTGATACTTTTTATCATGTTTTAAACACTTTACACCCACCAACTCCCATAACTAGTACTCATATTTAAAAAACAAAACCAACCCAGTCTTGTTTTGTAGGGGAAGCCGTGAGTGCTGGAGATGCCTTATGTGAGATAGAGACTGACAAAGCTGTGGTTACCCTAGATGCGAGCGATGATGGCATCTTGGCCAGAATAGTGGTAAGTTTTTATTTTCATTGTCTTCAACAGGATGAAGGTTTCTTAACTGTCAAGTTCTTTGAAATTGAGTTAGTATTTATTTGTACCTCTTTGTTTATGTTGTTATGGTTGTGTGTTGTATTATATCTACATATACATTTTAAATCCAGATGTTTAAAATATTTCAGTGTGACGTCTAATAATAATCAGCGATGATCAAACAACATAGAACTATTTCAACTGTGATAAAGATGCTCAGTATTTTGGGTTCTCTAGTGGAAAGTGAGAAGCATTCTGACCTGAGGGATGAGAGAAGTGCTCGAGGTGAAATTTAAAGACAAAGAGAACAATAGTTAAAGCTTGAGCTTGCAGTTTCCAAGTTTGTAATTGGTAAAATTTTTTTTTAAGAAATGTTTTACTGCAATCTCATGAAAACGGGAAATCTTATCTTCGTCTGTCCTCAGGACTTCCAGGCCTGGAAAGTGTATAAAGTCAGCTCATCTCCTTTCGCTAGACAAGATTGTTTGAAGTTGTCCTATGCAGAGTCTTGCATGTGGGTTTCATAGCCACACTAAGTTTCCTGATACTTCCTCATCCTTACAGTTTTATTCATCCTTTATATTTTTACAATTGTTTAAAATGTAATTGCATAAAAATGTATCTGTGATTATGTGCTCAGTCATGTCTGACACTTTGTGACCCCATGGACTGTAATCCACCAGGTTCCTCTGTCCATGGGATTTCCCAGGTAAGAATACTGAAGTGAGTTGCCATTTCCTCTTCCAGGGGATTTTCCTGACATAGGGATCAAACCTGTCTCTCTTGCATGGGCAGGTAGATTCTTTACCACTGAGCTACCTGGGAAGCCCTAAAAAGATACGTATATGGAATATTTCACTGCATGTTGTTGACAGTCATATCTTTTGATAGCATATTTTCTGTTACATGAGCAAAAGAAAATATGCTGTGGGTCTAGTAAAACCCGTCATTTCCTTTTAGATCTAAGTTTTAATATACTGTAGTAATTTTGAAAACTTCTCTGAACAGTCTTTGCTTCATAACTAATTAAAAATATGAAGCTGTTACTTGGAAAACTTTAGTTGTATTATTAAATGCTGAAGTTAGTATAGCCCTTCAACAAAAATGTGTAGCAATATAAGAGAGGTTACTTAATTAACAGAAGGAAATACCATGTAGTCATTAGAAAATAATTCCTAGGAAAAAATGTGATTTCATTATAAGTTAACAAAAATTCAAAAGATTTTGGAAAAACACTTTTATAATTATATATAGATGGTGATTACAGTCTTACAGAACTTTAAATAAAAATACAAATATAAACAAGATTAGAATGAAGTGTTATAAAAATTTGAGGTTTGTCTTTGGGTAGTAGAACTAAATGATTCTCCTGCTCTTTTTATCTGTTTTTCTCTATATTCTTAATTTTCTATAATAGGCATTTTTTTAAATAGTGGAATGTTAGAGTTTATATGAAAAGTAAGTGAAATAAAATGCATAAAGCCTGTCCGTGGTTACATGGTATACTCACTGATAGGGTGTGTTTGTTTCTGACCTTCTAGGACAGTAAATGGATAGTGTGGTATAGAAGCTAAGATTACAGACTCTGGAATCACACTGTTACCTGATTCATATAGATGATCAATTCTGCCAGTTATTAGTTATGTCATGATTGGCAAATTCTTTAGCGTTCTAGTAAAGTGGAGGTAGCTGTAATACTGTAGGTTATGGGGTAATAGTAGAGATTGAGATAATGCATATATGCTCATTATAAGCCCTATTACCCACCAAGTGTTGGTAAACATCACTGTTCCCATTATTATTATACTTATTCGTTTAGTCTTGGTGACCATACCCCCATTTTAACCTACATATTTATCTCATAATTTGTGTTGGTTTTTGTGACTGGACGTTAAGCATCCATTCATGCCTCTGTAGGGTGATTTATACAGACACGCTGCACATCTCTTAGTAGTCCCTTGATGTGGTCTCACTTCTGAGCCACCAGCTCGCCTCCACTTTGACCATGGATATAATGCCTTCTTTTGTACATTGTATCCAGAGACTGTACTTTGGAATGTCATACTTAATATTTTATTTTTTGCATTCTGATTTGTCAAAATTCTTTTCAATTGTCATCTTCCCTGTTGATAGCCATGTTAAAACACATTGTTGAAAATACTTCCTAGGAGGAAATATGAATGGAAGACTAAAAGTTCTGTACCTTTTTAACTAGAAGAAAGTAAATGTTCTTACCGAAAATAGTTTCTTTCACTAATTTATGCTGCATTTTGAAAAGGAAAAACTTTGTTTAAATTAGCACATGTAATAAGCCCAGCTGTGTGTACTTTTGGCAAGCTGTGTCATTGGGCTCAGTTCTGGATTGTTTGGCTATGAAAGTCTTCCAGAACTGATAACATTTTTCACTCAGGTGCTTAGTAATACATTTCAGATTAATAATGATGTCTTAGGTCAGGAGTACCTATTCATCTGGGCCCCAAAGCTCTGAAAAGGTGGTGTGAGGCGGTATGATTGATAACAGCTTTAGTTCTACAAATAGCTATTTCCTTGCCAAAGGCTGTATGTATGTGCTTTAGAGCTCTGTGGCTTTATTATTATTCCACATGCATTTTGGATAATAGGAATGGGAGTATATTCATATCACAGTGTGTGCAATTTTATAGGGGGAAAAATGGAGGGAAGTTAAGGTGGTATTACTGATATTTTTAAAGCCTTTTACCCCCCTCCATTCTTAACCTTCCATTCACAAGTTAGAACTTTGTCTTTCATTCTGGAATAATTCTCATATTAGCACCCATAATAAGATGATTTTTATAGGAATACATGTAAGAGAATCTTACTTTCAGAATCAAGGAGTTGGTTAATTGAGCTTATTAAAAGGCAGGTGATGATATAAAAGGATGAAGGGATGGAGCCAAAGTAAAAACAGCACCCAGTTGTGAATGGGACTGGTGATAGAAGCAAGATTCGATGCTGTAAAGAGCAATATTGCATAGGAACTGATGTTGAAGCTGAAACTCCAATACTTTGGCCACCTGATGTGAAGAGCTGACTCATTGGAAAAGCCCCTGATGCTGGGAAAGATTGAGGGCAGGAGGAGAAGGGGACGACAGAGGATGAGATGGTTGGATGGCATCATCGACTCGATGGACATGGGTTTGGGTGGACTCTGGGAGTTGGTGATGGACAGGGAGGCCTGGCGTGCTTCAGTTCATGGGGTTGCAAAGAGTTGGACACAACTGAGTGACTGAACTGAACTGAACTGATGATATAAAACTCCAGTTTTTAGTTTGCCCACATGTTTGAAAGATTAGGAATTATAACCTGTTTTGCTCTTCATAGGGATTTATTTCCATAGTCTTCGAGAGTTTTTTATTTTCTCCCCAACCCCAATTTGATTCTTTTCTTAGTACTCATAATTTTTACATCTGAGTTCCATTTTAAATATAAAATATTAATTATTATATTTCATTTAGAGCCAGAAAAAAAGCTTGAAAAGAAAAGTGAAGTCGCTCAGTCATGTCCGACTCCTTGCGACCCCATGGACTGTAGTCTACTAGGCTCCTTCGTCCATGGGATTTTCAGGCAAGAATACTGTATTCTTATTCTTGATGGGAAATGGGTTGCCATTTCCTTCTCCAGGAGATCTTCCCAACCCAGGGATTGAACCCAGGTCTCCCGCATTGTAAGCGGATGCTTAACCATTTGAGACACCATGGAAGTCCTGGTGGCTCATTTAGAGCCAGAAAAAAAAGCTTAGACACTCTTAATAATATTAATAAAGAATAACTGCTGCCAGTATAGATAATTTTATGATTTATTTCCAATTAAGTTAATGGGAGAGTTATTAAATTCTCATTTAATCACACTGGTAAATTGTCATGTAAAAACCTTAAACTGTTACACATGTATCAGTTCATAAGTTTAGTCTTAAATTTATTATTCAGCAAGTTAGATAGCAGATGTTTTAAATGGTAAAGTAATAAAATGAGGGGATTCCTTGGTGGCTCATTGGTAAAGAATCTGCTTGCTAATGCAGGAGACACAGGTTCGATCTCTGGGTTGGAAAGGTTCCCTGGAGAAGGAAATGGCAACCCACTCCAGCATTCTTGCCTAGGAAATCCCGTGGACAGAGGAGCCTGGAGGGCTACAGTCTATGGGGTCACGAAGAGTTGAACATGACTTAGTGATTAAATAACAATAAAATAGAATATTAAGATGACTTTTTTTGAAGAGTGTAAGATTGGCTTCAAATATATTTAGGGTTACTGTATAATTTGTCATACAAGTCAGGATGCTTTTGAGGGTGAAGAAGATGTAAGATGTTAGGATATATTTAAACATAATTTTTTAAAATTTTAGTTTATTTACTGGCAATACAGTCATTGATTTTTATTTTGGGGTAGGCTGTTACTCTTCAAAACAATTTTCAAAAATAGAATTCTTTCTAAATTTTAACATCTATATATATTAAAACAGATTTTTAAAATTCCTTTATTGATTATCTGAATATTGCAAAAAGTAGTGCTCAGTCGTGTCCAGCTCTCTGTGGCCCCATGGACTGTGTGGCCTGCCAGGCTTCTCTTGTCCTTGGCATTTCCCAGGCAAGAGTACTGGAGTGGGTTGCCATTTCCTACTGCAGGGGATCTTCCCAACCCAGAGACTGAACCTGTGTCTCTTGCATCTCCTGCATTGGCAGGTGGATTCTTTACACTCGTACCACCTGGGAAACTTATTAGAAAAACAACAACAGATCATAATTATTTTTGGTACTGTTCCTCTAATTCAATCAATGTCTTCACTGTATCTCCCTCCAGTACTGTGTCACTGGTGTTTTCTAAAGAATGGATTTTTTCACCGTGGTTTTATTTTACTGTTAGGTTCCCTCCTACCCTCCCTTATTTTTTATTAAGTTGCTTGCAATCTTCTTCAAAATTACCTTTTGTAGTTTGAAAATTATCTGTTGAAATTTGAAGTTGTGA